AGCCCATCTGAGCCAGCTTAGCTTTTCAGGATGGATGTGCCCACACCCAGAGGTCGAGATTAAATTACTTGCCAGCCTCTGAGATGTATGTTTATGAATGAGGTTTCCTGCCCTATTCTAAGAGGGAGAAGATGGTGAGGTTAAGGTTAAGCATCATCCAACAGGTGCTTGGGCTGTAAGGACAGTCCTTGCATGGGCCCAGGGCTCGCAGAACGGAAGTAGATGGGTTCTCTTTGGACCTCAGAGGGAATTTCCTTAGAAAGGAAAAAGCCACACTGGTGGCTTTAACTGAAGTAAAGGGAAAAGCAGTTGATGTGTTAGTAGAGACTTTGTGAGATAGGGTTTGGCTAGGAAGCTGCTTTTTCTACCTTTCCTTCTTTGACTTCTCTTCTTTCTAACCTATGCCCACCCCTCCATCCACCCACAATGGGGTTGAGAAGGTCCAGGGAACAAACTGATTTTATCCTAAAATCTCTCTTGAAACACACCTCTAGTAACAGCGTCCACACAGATGCCAGTAATTATTTGGTTTGGGTAACTAAAAAACAAGACAAAGAAACAGATCTGGTTGCTACCTACCAAAAAAAGAAAAGAAAAGCAACAGCACCAAAAACAGGTTTAGCTTTTAAAGTGTTCAAGACTTCAGTCTGGGGGGACATGTTAGGATTTCCTGAGAAAATGAAGGATTAGAATACACACGTGGTGTGTCCGTTCCGGGTCAAAATTACAAACACTGCAAACTGAACACACATTCCCGTGAGGTTAGGTGCTACAGTGGCTTAGCTTTCACTCCGCACAGGCCCAGCATCCTTAGGGATTCCTAATGGGCAGCCAGCCTCTCTGGCCTTTAAGGGAATCACCAGCTGTCTTCCCGGGTGGACGGCCGGTCTGCAGGCACCGGACAAAGACGTCTCTAGGGCCTCCCGGCCCACTAAGCTGCCTCTCACACCACAGCCTTGCCACTGGCGGTGCCTTCCCTTTCAGAACACCTCCTCCCCTGTATCCCCTTCCCCTGGTCCGCACCTGCTTGTCTTTAGGCTCTCAGCTCCTTCACAACTTCTTTGCAAAAGACTTTCCTCATCTCAACCTCACTTCTCCTTTGTGGCATTTCCTACAGCTGTCTTTTTATCACGATTGCATGATCAATCCCTGTCTTCTCCACTGAACTGGGGACTTCCTGAGGGCATGGAGTGATATTCAGGTGTATCTAGGTGACTTCTGCTGTGCTGGGTTGGATTATGAGGAGGGAGTGGGGGTCCCATGGGAGCAGAGGCTAATTATCAGCTGGTATGGGAGTATGTCAGCACCGTAACAGCCGATTGCACTCGCGTGTGTATCCTCAGCCTCTGACATGACACAAGGTCTGCTACATAGTAGGTGCTCAGTAAAGATTGTCAACCAACTGTCCTCCCTCTCTGAGGTACCTTCAGGTGGATGATGTGCCCCTTGGAGACAATGCCCATGTCCTTCAAGTCTTCTTCCTCCAGAAGAAGCAGTCGCTTTCCTGTAATGTTGTTTTCCTTAAACAAGCTTGCATATATGCTCATCTCTTCGGAAGAGTCCCCTGAAGGAAGGGATTAGAAGGTAGAACAAAATGAGATGAAACCATGCCCTGAGCAAAGTTAACTGCATGAATTAAGAAGGTAAGTTATTCTACTTGCCTTTTCTGACGAGCTGCTGAACCCAAAAATACTGTGAAAGAGAGGACACATATGGATTTGAAGATTCACACACGGTCAGTGGCCTGACTTCACAGTAAAACACACTTTTCGATAGATTAAAATATCTGTAGTTTTGCAATGTAAGTTTTGGCTCAACCACCAAGGTAAAATGAAAGACATTCTCTTTATGGATTTAAAACATCAAGCTCTCAAATTGGAGATACCCCTCCCTGTGGACATCTTGGGATACTTGAGGAAATGTGGGTTTTGCTTTTTATTTGGGAGATTTAAAAAAAGCCTTCAAGAAGGTTCTTAACTTATAATGACTTTTCTCTTTATGTGCTGGTCATCCCCGGAGCTACTGAGGGGTACTGGTTTACCCAGGAATTGTATGCGGAGCAGGGACCACACGGCAGTGGACAGAGAAGTGGGCAGAATATGCTATGTCCTAGGCCTGGTCAGGAAGTAGCTCTGTGGCCCAAGACAAGTTAAAGCACGGAGCTTCCTGTATAGAATGAAGTTGGACCCAGTGACCCTCCGTCCTTGAATATCACTTGGCACGTGTTTACTGGTAGCCTCTCACATAGAAGGGAGGCCAGACCCAGTCCCAGCAATTCTCTGGGGGGCCCTTGACCCTGGGATTTTATTTACATGGCTTGAAAACCACTCGACCTCAGAGCAAAGACTAAAAATAACTGTTAGAGCTCAGTGCTTTTTAAAAAATTTCTTCTCAAATGAGATGGGCCAACTTTCCAGCTGGGGATAAAGGGATTATATCCAGACCCATGAATAGATCCTAAGTTCTTTTTCCTTGTTAACAATCCGGGCTGGTGGGAACTTTACCAACAACGAGGCCCAGTGAATGGGAAGAAGTAGAGGCAAGTGGTGCCAAGTTTCCTCACCCTATAGAAGCCAAAGAGGTTAGCTAATGTTGAAAGCAGTTTTACTTCACCAGAGCATGGTGGGCAGGGAGGAAAACGCCCCAGTCCAGAAACCAGGTTGAGGTAGGTAAACAGACCTTCCTAAGAGTTTCTAGCAGTGAATTTGTACACTGTGGCATCTGGTCTGTTCTCTGGGGTGAGGGCTTGCTAAGGCTGGCATTACAGCTGTTTTTCTTTTTCATTTAATGGGACTTGAGCCTATAAAATGGACCTGGACAAGTATAAGCCCCTGAGGTCTCTGATCAAGAATTCTCCAGACTTTTCACTAAAGAAGCAAATACAGAGACGCAACAGGCTAAGAAGGATTGTTCCTTAGGGTCTCTACCCAAGTGTAAGGTATAGAACTTCCTCTGGACTTAAGTAATCTGTCCTCCTCCTCTGGCTGCAGCTGCAGAGGATGTCTGGGAGCTTGCATCCGTTCTTCCTGGGAAAGGCCAGAGGACAGATGCACCCGTCACTTTCAAACAGGCCTAAGGTAGGAAGGAAACCCAGTTCAGCGGAATCCCAGTCTAGAGCTGCCTTTCCCAGATCTTTCTCCACTGTGGTTCCAGTCCGTCCCTGGTGTTTTAGGAAAACTTAAGATCAAACTGTTTTCACGTTTGTTCATTTGGTATCCTGGATCACTCCTTTAACTTTGCCATTGGTATTCATTATAGTATTCTGGAATACCTTTCAGAGCAAATAGGGAGGTGGAATCCTCTTGTAAGATTTGAAGAGATACTTGCCTTGCTCTTGAGGCCTTATTTTAAATCATTACTGCATTAAAAATAGAAAAACAAGGAATTTGTCAACTTCTCCTAGTTAGATTTTCTTAAGGCCCCGACCCCTCCAGCTGCATCTGTAACTTGTGGACCAATGTCTGAAATACCTGCCCAGGTCAAAGGAGGCATTAACAGAAGCTGCTTACCACGTCATCTTCAGTCCATGAGCCAATCTCAAAGGAAGGCAGCAGCTGCATGGGAAATACGAATGCAGTGAAAAACAAAAGTAATATTATCATTGTCTTTTTGGCTCATCTCTTATCTCCCCTATTTTAGCTTTTGGCCGCTGCTCTGGCTCGGTTTCTTCCTTGGCAGGTTAGGTTGAATGGCAAGCAGTTCTCCTGACCTTGAGGGGAATTTCTCATCGCTCCAAGCATTTACCCACAGAAGCCAATCCCAGGCACCAGCTTGTCCGTAACAATTCATTGCACTTGGTGAGCTGTTGCAGCAGGGGCTGTAGATCTTGAGACTGTCCTCTCTCGGTACTTGGCACACCAAGAGTAGACTTCCCTCCCACAATAGGGTTTGACGGTCCAGGAGCTTCTGACATTTGCCAGATACCAGAGCCTCCCTTGGAATTCCCACTCAGCATGAGGATCATCGGATTGTTCATGAAAATTCTGAAGCAACACTTTGGTAATCAGATGACCTTTATGCTGCTGCTGCTACTTTTTTTTTATTTTTTATTTTTAAAATTTTTTTCAAGAGAATATTAAATCGTTTATTGATTACACATGATAATGGACGATACACAAGCTTTAATCCCATCTATAATTTTATCTGATACCATAATTCAATTTAGATATATTGCATAGGATGTGCGAACAATCCTATTGATAACCAAATAAACTCCAGGACTTTGCTTGGGTGACCCTTTTAACGGTGAACTCCAGGTCACAACACATTAACTGTCAGTTCAACCACACCAGTGTTTGTGGAGACAACGGCTTCTGTGCCCAAGCAGGTTGCAAATAAATTTCAAATGGAACCTGGCATCACCCTGATGGAATTCTAACTTCACACTGTTGCGGTAGTTTACCAAGATGAAAAGACTTTATTTTTTTTTAAGTAATATCTACACCCAATGTGGGGCTTGAACTCAAAATCCCAAGATTAGGAATTGCCTGCTCTACGAACTGAGCCAGCCAGGCATCCGTATATGCTGCTGCTTACAGGGGAATTTCTAAGTGGTTAGCCAAATGACTCACTTGCATTATACTTTTAAAAGGAAATATTAGGATCCATGGATGAAGAAGGACGGGTGAAAGTCGAACTATCGTCCCAAGAAACCCACATTGCAGAGTTTGCTCTAATGAAAACCACTAACCTCTCTCCTTTTCAGATGTAGACATGAAAGACTTTGCAAAAGGACTTTGGCCTGCATCATTTTCAAAGCCAAAGAGCTACTTGCTTCAGTATATGCCCATGGCAATAGACTAAATGATAAACGCCTACATAATTTGAAAAAAAAATTGTGTCCTGTGTCTTGAATTAGAGTTTGCCATACCCTTTAGCTTTAACTAACTTAACTTGCCAGCATGGTTGGATTGCTTGTAAGGTAACATGGCAGTGCCTTTCAACCTTTGTTACAAATAACATTTTTTTTTTTTTTGGGTGAATGAATTGAAAAACAAAGTTGAATCTGGTTGCTTTTACTATTAGTGTAAAAATCGGAAGGTGGGTGAGTTTCTAATCTGCAAATATTTTGAACTCACATGCTCAAAACCATACTAGGAAAGGTATGCTCCTCCCTTTAAGGAGCTTTTAATTTAATTGGGGGTGAAACAGATACGGATTATAGATGAAGGAGTTTAAGGCTACCTTCGTGTTGGCTCACTCAGTGCCTAGCAGAGTGCCTGGCGTACAATACTTGGTAAATTTTTGTTGAACCATTTCATTGAATGAATCCAGCTGCAAGGTGCATTTACTAAAATGCTGAATCCTCTGATAGAGAATTCAGTGTGTGCGGGTATACCAGGGAAAAGGGAGGGTTTCATAGACCAAGATGGGGATGGAAGGCATGGTGACTTGAGCTGGGTACTCTAGGGCACAAAGAACGGAGATGTGATTCTACTTGAGGAGAAGCAGGAAGGCCAGACAATGGCACTGGTGTTGGGGACAGGAGGGAAGGGGGGCATGGCATGTTTGCCTTACTGGAGCACTGGATGCAGCGTGTGTATATTGGAGGATAAAGGGGAAATGCTTAACATCTTTGCTTAAAATGCCTAAATTCTCTCTGGCAATGATTAAAAATCTCTAGGGAGCCAATGAGAATTTTTGTTGTAAACCCACAAGTTACAATATATTTGATTGTGTACAGTTTGAGTGTTCTAGCTGAGTTGTAAGGGCATAAATCACGACCGGTCTGTATATACTCTGCTACCCCCCATGTATCCCAGTTCCCTCAGGATTGCCCCTCTCCTCCTCTGAGATACTGGATATAGGTAGGAATCTTCACATGCACTCACCTTCAGTAATGCAGAAAGGAAAATGACTTGAGGAAGAAAAATCTAAAACTGAATTTGACCAAAGAATATACATGACATTTTATTTGTTCATGGGGCAGCTGAATACAGCTGCAGGAACATGTCATTCCCTTTTCCCATCACGGAAACATGTGAAATAAGGAACTTTTTTGATGAGTTCAAGGAACAGACTGACTTTACAGAACTCTTTCCCTGCATCAAGGTTGGCCTCTATAGGGAGTGGGGGGATATGTGGTGGTTTGATTTTTATACAATTCCCAAATGTTGTGCTAAGCAAAATCGTTAAGTATTTCTTGAATAAAGGTTGTAAATGAAACAACTAATCAAAACCCATCATATTTGGTTTTAAGGTCAAAAGGAGAGGGGAAGAGCTCTCTTGCCCTCCTAGAGTGGCTCGTCAAGAGGACGCCAAGGGAAAGGCATAGATTCAGTTTGATAATCACTCTGGCAGGATTCTTGCACAAGGCTTGCAGAGATCAGTGATAGGAAGGCTGGAGCCAGACACTGCTTCAAGACAGTTTGAATTTGGCAAGATGGGGGTAAGAGTTAATGATCTCTAGCCACATAGTGGTTTACCATTTCCTTTATGCTTTCTGTACCTTCTTAGCATGTCAGTGTATCTGCTGTAGCATGAGTTCTAAGCCTTTTGTTCTTTTGAGGATAAGAAAAAATCCACCTCGTGACTGCCCCATCATTTTACAAATTCATTATTTACACTCAACTGATTTCAGGAGAGAAAAGCTCACATTCATGTGCATGCGTGTGACCGTGATTCCTTCCAAGGATGTTGGGAAATCCCATCTAACAAAGATCTGATATACACAGCAACACATAACAAAGGGATTTACTGTCAAAACGTTTATTGCAAAATGGAGTCTTAAAACAAAGAAAAAAGCAAAGAAAAGTTCACATCAAAATGAAATGTATGACACCAACTTGGATTTCTGAATACATTGTGGACTTGTGCTGGAATATCAAATTCCAACTATGAAATCAATAACTGAGTAGTCTTACCACACACGAGTGATATGTAATCTCCCATACAAACATTATACAAGATATTTGGCATAGGATTTGCTCAGAATAACATTGCAACAGAATAGTTGAGAAAAAGGTTTTGTTAAAAAAAAAAAAGTGATAATGCCATCTATTCAAAGCTCACACTCAAAGAATATAAATATTTCCTATTATTTAGTACAAAATTTCTAAAAGAGTGCAAAAGCAATATGTGCAGTGTATTGTATCTGACATTAAAAGTTAAACTGTTCTGCACACAATATAAAATAATTAATGTAGGTGCTTGAAACACTAGTTTTAAAGTCAATAATCACATGCCAGAAAGCTCCTCATAGGCAATAGTGTGCAACTGATAGCTGAAGCATAAACGAACATGGCTAGCTAGCCCTTCAGATTTCCTGGTACACGCTCCTTTTTCATCACAGAAATGCTACAGCTATCAGGCTAGGCCACAATTGAAAGAACAGAACAGATTGTTCTTTCTGGCAACGCTTAAAGTCTAAACAGGAAAACAGTCTTACTCAAAAGCAGCAAAAGGTGCCTGATTATAGAAAAATTATGCTCTCTCATATGTGGTAGAGAATGTGCTAGTTTTCAAATGCTGCAACAAGTCTAGCGTATCAAAACCCAAAAAAGTCTCAATATTTAACTCAGAATAGCTTTTAAAATGATCTTTCATGAAATTCTTACTACAATGAAAACTCTGAAAAATAGTTATGTACATCATAGTTCTAGGAGAAGTCATTCTGGATCTCTCCCAAATCTTACGTCTGATTCCTTGATTTTAATGGGAATCAATTTTGAATTAACTCAGCTGGTGTTAAAATCTAACAGATTTGCTGCATGTTAAACATCACTGGCTAAAAACTGGCCCTCAACATTTCCAGAGGATCCAAAACAAGTGTCCTTTGTGCCTTCAACTCTTCCCATTGGTTATTAATGTAAAATATTAAAATGTGATTTTACTTCACACACACACACACACACACACACACACAGCCCTTTTAAATTAACCTGGCTGCTTTGAAGAACTATAGCTCCCTCAGTGATGTTTTCCTTTTTTACTTATTTTGGAATTGGTGTAACAGAGTGACACTAACCCCCACCCCAGGTAAATTTTGCTGTTTTATAAAGTTTCCACCAGCATTCTTAAGGGGAAAGAAACCATTTCCACAAGGGAGGATTTAAGATAAATGCCACAAACCTATAAACTATAGATTGTACAGTAGTTGTAATTTTAGAAATGCATCTTTTGACTTGAGCAATTTTGAGGGAGAAAAATTTGATACAGAACTGTAAAACTGCCAGGTTTAGCAAGTTTCTTAAAGGGGAAAGGGACAATGCTATTGGTAAATGGAATTCTTTATTGGGTGGGACTGTCCCTGGCATGCAGGATGTTACCATTTTTGGCACTGGGCATTAAATACACCCCAGTCACTGTGACAACCAAAAATATTCTCCAGCCTCCCCCCTCCCCCAAACATCATTAGGTGCCCAAGACGAAAATGGCTGGTAGAGAGTCATCAAATTCTAGATCGTCAACTTTATGAATATAGAAAAAGAGATGAAAAAGAGTAATTATATTTTCAGTTGTAGGACTCTGAAAATTATGACAATTTAGAGTTTCAATTATTATTGTGAATCTTTAAATTTCTTAGTGTTTCTTTATAAGTATACACTTTTGTAAG